ATCTTCGAATTCGGTATTGTACTCGGAGAACAATATTAGTCCTTATATATTATAAAATATCGTGACCTTTAAATTATATAAAATAGGACTCGCAAGTTGACGCTTATCAAGGACTTAGCACAACCTAACATGGAACTGAATGTTATTGAACTGTATTCTATATTTATATTTCTTGTCACGTTTATCAGATATCAGAAATTTTTTTGGTTCTTTTCATTTATTAAAAGTATTTCTGTGTTTTACTTCATCTATTCTAAAATTAATCACGTTAAATATATTGAAATTTGCGTAAGGAAATATTCTGTTGAATTGCTTGCATCTTGTTTTTTGTTTTAGATATTTCTGGAAATTTTCAGTTCAATTTTAACTTTAAAATGCCATTTTCTTCTGTCATTAAATTTATTTCTCTTAAGATTTAAATTGAAAAAAAGGAATTGATTTAAAATATAAAATATTTGACAAATTTAAATTGGTTTTTATACAACGAAATGCTAAATAATATACATCAAATGTAAGTCATATTATTGAACAGAAATTTGAAAAATAATTGAAGTAACATCTGTTAAATTGAATTAACATCGATTTGACGAATATTTCTGAAATGTAAACGTAAAATGTAAACAAAACTCTATCAATTTAAAAGATCGTAATTTAAAATGAATTTTCGCTATTCTTAAAAAAATCTGTCGGAGAAAATTGTTTCAAATCGATGATATATATGAAAATATATTACTCCTATTTTTTTGTTGTCAGAATACTTTTATACTTGAAGTAGTTATTTACTTTTTAATTTTTATGATTTATTTCTACAAAAAATTTAGTCATTATTTCGTTTCCAAAGTTTCTTTTACTTAAGAATGTAAGACAAATTCGTAATATTAAAGCCATTTGATCTTCATATAAAACGTGTCATAAATAATTTAAAACATCGAGCAGATCATAAAATTAATAATTTAAAAAATACGTAAAATATTGATAATTTCAGTTCACTAAATGCAGTATATATATATATATGAAGAAGTAAGCACTTTAAACTAAGAAAATACCAAATATATTTTAATATAACAATTTGAAAACAATTTAACAATAAGTATAACTTAAAAATCCTATCCATAAATAGTAAATAAGCATAACTGTTACCCAGAAGAATTTCAATTCTGATCTAAATTTCCATAATTTTTCATGATTAATTCAATTTAGACTTTTTTATTTCTTATTTTCACTGGCGTAAGTGGACTTTAATGGAAGTGCGACCAATTTACAATAAGAAAAATCTAAGATAAGTCCATTTTTAACTCCAAGGAAAGTTCGGACATATTGATTAATTTGAAAAGAAATACTTCTAAATGAAATTAATTTTCTTATATTTTAAAAAATGTTTAGATAAAAGTTACAAAAAGAAGATAAAATTTCGAGTTTTTTATTATAGTAGGTCATATCTTTAAATATAAAGCGACTATGAGTTTAATTTTGCCCGAATTCTTAATACAAAGGAGGATAAACAATGGTAATTTCGTGATATGTTTTAAATTCATTTTCATCAAATAAGTAATGTAAGATAAGATTTAAAATTTTTCTCGCAAATAGAGTGGAACATATTAAATTTGAAAATTTTGTTCGTTTAAATAAACTGTTATTTATAACTGTTAGCAAAACGATAATCTCTATTGTAAGAAGAATATTGGAAATTTCTAGAAGTATTTTAGGAGAGTTTTATCTTAAATTTCTAAAGAAAATATTGATGATAAGTGATTTATTTTTTGATATTTCAATAAACTAAGAACTGAAGATATATTTAAACACACGGTTCTCATTTTTTTATTGTATTGTGCATTTAAATTTCCTTAGCTATTTTGGACAACATTCTGAGCTTTCGCTGTGAAATTTTAGACATATCAAACAAAGGGACTATTTAATAATTAATTATCATCGATTAGAGAAGTAAAATAAAAATATGTATAACTTACAGATAATGCTAGTTAAATATATATCACGAAATTACTACTCGAGATGCCATTAAAATATCGTAAACGTGAAAAAGATAATTTTTTAAAGTCTATGGGATGGAAAGTGTTATACGAGCAATTATTGTGACATTGTCAAAATGCTATGTTGAAATTTTTAATCATATTTTTAATTTATTTAATTTTAATATATACTCTCCACCTCAAATTAGTAGTGTCTTGTTCCTGTACATCATACTTTTCCTGTTAGCAATTGAGTCGTATATCTAACTCCTTACACGGGAAAAATTTCGAATTGAAATAACGTAACTTCCGGTTTGCATAGAAAGTTATAATATAGTTAATGGGGCTTTCTGCCCTAAGCTTGGATAGATGAAGGGCGAGAGTCTCGTCTTTCATCTATCCAACTCTGTTCTCGATAGGCATCAGACAGACTGACGTACAGACAAACGACAGTGAGCATTTATAGGTCTATAGTTTTTTTCAAATCTCAGCCAAATGTATAGGCTAAAGGATTCTCTCACGAAATTACCCATGATATCATGAAATAACCACTTGTACTCAACATAAAAATTATACTCCTAGAAAACTAAGATACACTAGACCCCCCCTACAACACCGTTGATAATTCCGTGTTATATGAATTCCATGTTGTACGAGTAACTTAGATTTTACAAATACGTGTGCCGGGCTATGAACGGCTGAATCTAAGTGACTCGTACAACATGGAATTCATATAACACGGAATTATCTACAGTGTTATAGGGGGTCTACTGTATACACATATTCAAAATGACAAAAAGCCCTGCTGTTATCTTGAGAGTATGATCCCTTTAATAGTAGGCCTATAGTTAACATGCCCATTTACGAAATATATATCCGATAATTAAAGAATAATTAATGTTATCACGAATTTACCAATGATTACCCTATTTGAACACTGATATGAAAGCTTAAAGTGATTCTAATTCCTATTTGGATGGATTTTCCCTTTCAAATAGTATCTTTAGCATTTAAAAATAGGATTTACAAGAACAATAACATTGATTTAACTTCTGTAATACGCTGGAAAAATGTCTTCTCAAATTCAATTACGTTCAAGTTTATAAGTAAGTAAAGTTAAAAAGAATCAAGTATCTAATACAATAAAATTTTAAAATAATCTTTAATTTTAACGGAAAAATGGGTAAATTAGTCGATAATAAACATTTAATTTTATTCGAGTCAAATTTAAAAACGTACAGTACAAGTAAAACAATGAATATTGTGATGCATTTTAAATAAATTTTGGCAACAGAAATTCTTTCTTGAGATTTCTTATTATATATTAAACGAGAAAACTCGTATGTCTGGAATTTTAATTATAAAATATATTTATATTTATATTTTATTTCGGAAATGTCTTTCAATTGTTCATTAATGAATAAAAAAAAGAATTAAGAAATTAAAATATAAACATTCACTTACGTTATGAATTACTTAAAATAATAAATGAAATGAAATTCTTTGTTAACTTTCATTAATTCTTTGTAATGAAAAAGACAAAGCACTCCAGTGTTGAGTTATAACAATTAAAAAAATCAAAATTTGAAATTTCAATTCATATAAACAAATTAATTTATATTAATTTATTAAATGTAAATTTTTACAATAAATTATAAATTTATAATATATATAAATTATTAAAATTATTTTTTATATTATGCAAACTGTACAAAGTTAAATTTGATTATTGTTTTTAATAAAGTTGAGTCTATTAAATTAATTGTTATAATCTTATTATACTAGAAACTTTGTAATTAGAAAGGCGTTTCTATCTACAGTACTATATTTTACAGTGTTAAAATTTAAACTAAGAATTTAAAATTTAATGTAAAAAAGTAACAGATTACATCAATTTTTTTAAATATAAAATGACGTTATAATTATCTGAATAATAAAAACATTTGTTAATTATTTTTATTTGTTAATAAATTGCTACCAAAATTTTCACTTATTCAACAGAAATTATTTAACTCTTTTTCTGAACAACTGAAATGTAAATAATTATCATATATCATGTAAAATTATATTCCGTACAGATCTACAAATTACACTGCAGAAAACTTGATAGAATAATAATCAAAGTCTGGTCCACAAATCGTTATGATGTCAATCGGAGAGATAAGATAATGGGTCAAAGGAAATCGATTCCAAATTCTCCTGATGGTTCCTCGCAACTATAGCATTGAAATCGCTGAAAAGATTCAAAGTACACGAAGAAAATGTTTTACTTCATCAAGTCTTTCTTCTTTAAGGAGAAGTACACGCAGTAATCTTCTTACCATTAGCTTTTCTTACCTTTGATAATCTTTGGTAATACCATTCATTTCTTTTTTATTAATTAAGCACTTCAGTAATCCAATTCGTACGTTTTTCTCAAAGTTACTAATGATTTGTTCAATTAGTAATTTTTTTCTCTACCCCTTTGAATATTTTATAAAAATTATTTTCAATGTATCTATCTCCATTCTATAGAAAATTTTAAATTAAAATCATGTGACTTCCGGTCTATAACGGACGTTCGTATATAGTTAATCGGGGCTTCCTGCCCATAAGCTTTCCATATCAATTCTCGACTTTTATATATTTAACACCGTTCTGGAGATAAAGGAAGGACAGACAAACGGACGACAGTGGGAATTATAGATCTACAATTTTTTCAAATTATAGCCATTGTAGCCTAATAATTAATTAATAGTTTTTCAAAGAAATTATATTATTTCGATGGAAACAGTATCAGAAAAATTCAGATACGTTTAAGAATATTTATTAATTAAGACAATAAAGCGTTAAAATTAATTAATAAGAAAAATAAATTGATAAAAGAGCAGATAGAAGAGACGATAACTGGAAGATTAAGAGTCAAGTGGTGCGCTATTTTACACGTCACGCTATTTTTAGAAAGACGACTTACAATGACGTCAGGTAAAATGTCGGGAGGGAGGTCAATCTATTGATAAGTGTAACGGATATGGCGATCATTTCAAACATTACCTGAAGAACAATTGTTGATTTAGATTGGGATTGCAACAATATGCTGGTCTCTGTACAACGGTTGCCAGTTTCTCGAAAATCTTCGGAATTCAATTTCCCATAATTTGCAGTTACTTTATAAAAACAACCTGTAAAAATCAAAATTGGCATTTATAGAATATTCTGTAATTAATTTTTATGATCAAAATTTTAACTAAACGTCTTCTAATTTTAACATTATTGATTCGAAAGTCGACATCGTTTTGATTATCAACATTTTAAAATCAATAACAGGAGAAAAGATGTTCGTGCAGTTGTATTTGTTTGAAGTAGTTCTACAATTTATACTGTTATTAATTTTAAAAATTTGATTTTATTTATTTATTTATTTTTTAAATTTCAAACGTTACAACCGTTTAATAAAAAGTTAAAATTATTATTTTTTTTTTAAAATGAATTTTACCTTTTATCCAGGACGTACTCGCAGTGGCTACAACCAAATGGCTCGATTTCTCCGCATACACCACCCTAAAATAATACTTTTTATTTACTTAAAATAAATATATATATATAATAATTATTTTTAAATTTTAAGTTTACATAACGAAATAATTTTATATACAGTATAACCTGTGTAAACCGGACTCACACGATGCCTGATACTTTTCCAATTTGACAGGTTTTCGTTTCGAACAGGTTTTTTTTAACATAGAAAATCGCCTTATAAGAATAAGGCGATTTTCCCGTTTAGGCAGGTTTCCGTTTTATAAAGGTTCCGCGTTAGACAGGTTTTACTATATTTCCAACAGTATAATTAAATGATATAAAAAAATTCGCAAATAAAGTTGATTTTTAAAACTTTAANATTTATTTAGATAACATTTTTTTATTTATTATAAAATATATTCTACATTTATTTTAAAGTAATTATTATATCGTTTTAATTCGAGTTTAAATATATTCAGTTTAATTAAATATCAATAAAAAATAAAATATTTATTTTTGGAGATTTTTTTTTCTATTATAATACAACTTAATCAGTTTGTATATAACACAAAAGATTTATTAAACAAATACAGTAAAACCTGTATAAACCGGACTCGTAGAGTACCGAATATTTCTCCCGTTTAGACAGGTTTTTAACACAGAAAATTGGTGTGTTCTTAAGAAGAATTACTCCCGTTTTGGGCAGGTTTTACTATTGTAAAGATTATAAAACTTTTTACTTTCTATGGAAATTTAAAAACTAAATATTCTTTATTAAAAAGTATTGAATATAAATCAATGGCCGAAAACTGATGTGATACAACGACTAACGTTAAGCATTGTTGATGCAGAGTTTGAAATTTGTCAGTGTTATCTTCTGAGTTGCAAAATCATTTAAAAAGTTGGCTTGGCTGTTTAAAACGCTACATTTAGCAATTTAAATATTATTATTTTTTAATAATAAATGGTCCGAATTCAACAATTTAGTTAGTTATAAATATTTTCCTATAAATATTTCGTGAGAAAAATATACAAAAGTAGAATGTTACTTGTGGTCGCTGATGAATTTAAGTTAAATCTTGAAAACGTTTTGATAATTTGGAGTCGAATGGCTCCTTGATTTAAGGTTTGACGTATGTTAATATAAAAATACATAATAAAATTATTTTATATCTATTTAAATACATAGAAATTCATTTTAGAATATCTTACTTTTATAAATTAAAAAAATAAAAGAAAATTATATTAAAAGGTTAGTTACTTAAATAATTTTTCTCCTTGGTAAAGTATTTTCTTATCACTCTAACGTGTGAACTTTAATATTTTACAACATCATCTGAGGTTTAATTCTTGAAATATACGTATTCAGATAGCATCGTTAGGAATATTGAATAGATTTGAATATAAAATATTTCTCGTC